AGTGGGTCGCAGAACCACAGAGCATATCGCACACCCCTTTCCCCACCGTGGCCCAGGCCAGGCTACTCCTACCTCTAGCCGTTCCGGATATCCTCCCGTGGGAACGTAGCCGAATGTGCGCGCAACACTCCAACTTCCAGGGAACACTCTCGCGAGAAGCCTTCTCCGTTCCATTTTCTCCTAGAATTCAACACTTACAGAAAGAAGAGGCCACGACTACCGATGGCTTCGGAAAGTAAAACATCCGGGTCGATGTGAAAAGAAAAAAGAAAAAATGGGCTCTTGAGAAATGTGTCAAAATACATATATTTAACCATTGGAGTCAACTTCAAGTATCGAAAATCTTTACGTCATGAAATCGTGTTAAGACTTTGATGTACAACAACCTAATAGCTCCACTCGGTCATCGACGCTCGTATTTTCGAGGAGGATTGATCTCTGAACGGTAGCAGAGTGAATTCGCGATAGCGCACGCGTTTAGCATAAAGAAACCGTCATAGACAAAAGACGGGCCTCCCTCGAGACGATACAGAAGGAGGATAGCGCAAAAGGGTGCTTCAGCGATTCTTGCCAAGCGTAGACAGTAACTGCTCGCCCACGTACAAAGGCGGCTGTTAAATGTATCGATATCGTGTCTTTAACATCCACGATGTCCGGGAACGCTTAGAATAGATCTGAAAGGATATTTAAATACCCCTGCGATCGTGAGCTATAAATGGGAAAGAGGACGTTGTTACCTGAATTGATTTATTCATCGCTCCTCATTGGAAAGCAGATCACTGAACCGGTGCTCGAAAATGTAAAGGAACATCAATTGCACCGCGTACCGAAGAGAAATCATTTCTCCGAAAGGGTGAAAGAGTCTGGCAAAGTTTTCGAAGGTACTCCACGAAACCCAGTGACCGGGATCACGAGAAACGGTAGGCACAGACGTTCGCGAAAGACAGTTGAAAAGGAAAGCACGGATTATATTCGCGCGACTCGTGGTCCAACGATCAACGAACCATCGAAGAATAACGCCTGCGAAGCAAGAAAAGCAACGCCACTTCCCCGTGGGTTGGCAGGAAAATAAAAAGAATAAAAGAGGGACAGGCGGGGAGAGAAAAGCGAAGGAAAACGAGGACATGGAAAGTACGAGCAGAAAAAATTCATGACGGGACGCGAGAGATTCCAATGGAACAAAGGGTGTCCCGAGCCGAGGTAGCCCAGCGGAGAGGAATCATGGTGGAGGATTCTCCACGACCACAGCCGAAGTGGAGGGAAAATGTCGTAGGAGAACGCAAACCAGAGGGATGAAAAAGACGCCAAGCCGTATAGGGAAAGATCGCGAGAAGGAGACGGAGGATATTGAAGAGAAAAAGGGGTGCCGGAAGCGAGAAAGGGATAGCCGTCTAGAGCGAGTTACACTCCCTTACAAAATTCATAGAGCACCTACTAAAAATCTTGTTCGGATTATAGAAGCTACAAGTTTAACTTTCACAGGGTTAAATCTGATCCTTTCGTAACACTTCCATTGTACAGGATGTCTCATGATACATGGAACCCAATTCAGGAATTGATTCGGTAATTAAAAATAATAAGAAAGCTTCATATAAATATATACCATTTACCTTCACAAAAGATGCTCAAAATATCTACCTTGCGTTTGAAGGCATGTCTGTAGACATCTCCTCATTGATCTTGCTATTTTGTCAATATCTCGCGGTGTTGTTTGAAGTTGCTCTTTAACTCTACGATACAGCGCTTCAGCGTAGACAATAGGTATTGTGTGCACAGAGAACTTTAAGTGACTTCGCAAGTGAAAATTCAAGGAGCGTGCGATCCACGTATTTGAAATTTCTTCTTTTTATCGTTTCCTGAAATAGGTGCCCCGTGTCATGGGACACCCTGTGTAATCGAAGATCATCGGAATGAGAAAATGTCGTATGACTTTTGAAGGGGAGTGTATAGCCGCGGCTGGCAGTGCGCTTGTGCAAGAAGCTGCCGTTGCCCGGGAAGAGACCTCCCGGCCCAGCCTCAGTCTCCGGGATGCTGGGGGCGGCGATCGTGATTCTACCCCCATTTCATCGTGCTCCGATAACATAGTCCATCTCGCTCGACCACTGTCCGTCTCTTGCTCTGTTCTATCTCCTCTCGAAAGTTAACCCTCGTCGTTGGTGCTTACGGTGACCACCGTAAGGTAGACAACTAACATCCCTTTCGGTGTCTCTCTCCCTCTCTTCGCATTCTACATACACCCCAACGTAATTCTCCCTTTTTTCTCTCTCTCTCTCTCTCTCACATATCTCGTCTGGTCTCGTCTGTCTGTCCCCCTCTCCTTCATCAACAGCATCCTCTTTCTCTGCTCGACTCTTCCGTCCTTCATCCCTTCTCCGTCTCTCCGCTTCACACCCTTTTCCACCGAAGCCTGGGTGCAGTCACCGCGAGAACCTTCAGGCAACCAGCTCTCCAGCAGGTGAGCTTCCTTGGTCGCGTCGTTTAGTTACATTGCTCCGTCAGCTCGTTCGACGTTCGCCGGGGTGTATATTGCACTCGGCTGGTTCATCGTAGCCATCCATCGTGCCGTGCTCTCTCGTCGTCGTCATCAGTCATCGGAGCGAGAGTGCTCGATCCTTAGGTTCGGTCGTGTGCACAGGATTTTCCAATTAGCTCGTTCGACCAAGTGCGCGGGATCAGAGACTGAGAGAAAACCTTTGGGGTGGACCGATACCGTTCCTCTTCTCGTCTCGTCTCGACTCATTCTTTCCCAAGTAAAGCTTGGGGATAACCTTCGTTGCGTTTTCTCGCGTTTGATCATCGTGCACGGGTTCGATTCGCTGAAATTTCAGCCATTTTTTTCTGCCATTCGAACGAGACCAACTGACCGTGCATCGAAGAACATTCTCCTCTGGAGCCAGTGACAGAAAACAATCCTTAAAAACTTGGATTGGAAAGTTATTTCCGGATCGAATCTTGAGAGATTCTCTTCTTTGCTCCTGTTGTGTTTCTTTGTAGAGATGATCAGAGGAATTTCATTAAAAGCATCGACCATTCATCCGATCGCGTTTCGGTACGCGAGACGAGAGTAGGAGGTGGTACGTTTCGATGTTCGTTAGGAAAAAAGCGGAGGAAGGTACGCGCAGGCGTGATCCGAGGAATCGAATAAACAGACAGCAACAATTCGGGGAGAGAGTTTTTGACTCGCGCCTGCTGCCCTCCTTTTCGGAAATGGTGTCTCTGAAACCGTCCTCCGAGCTAGTCGTCTCGAGCGTTGCTCCTCCATCCCCAGTTTCATCCCTGATCGATCCGTTCTGATTCAAATTTTCTTAACATACAGCGAAGCTGATCAAATTTCGACATCGAATAGCGAAAGGGTTCACCTATGATCGGTTTCCTTATAAAATAGAGCCAGCTTGACACGATGGTCGCTAAATTTTCTAATAAAACAAGTTTGAACATTTCTTCGTGAGACTGTAAGGCTGCTACATACGTTCGCCAAAATGGCGGTCGTGTTTTAATCGAGGTTCGATCGAGCACTCGCGTTCGGTTCGCGTACGGGAAGTGGCGCTATTATTCGGTGAGCGTATTTTCCAGCCGTATCTTTTGCCGATCGTTAGGGCCCGTAACGAAGGGAGAAGGAATCCGCGATGGTGGGTGGTGGTGATTGCAAGGTCGCCACCGTGGAGGTGGAGGCAGCCGCGGCGGACAACACGGCGACTCTTCCGGTGACCAGACCCCTGAATCCTCAGAACTCGTCACAGAACGCGCAGGACAACGCGGAGAAGAACAATGCGGCTAACAAAGAGATGGAGCTGAAGAACGTGCGTTCTACCCCAGCGAAAAAGTAAGCGCGGTTGTAGAGAATTAGATGAGAAACCGATGGGAAAGAACCAAGGACTTCTTCTTATTTCTTTATCTTTTCTTTTGCTCTTCAGCTCATAACAATCATGTACGACGCGTTATCATCGCTTTTGTAGTTACCTCGCAAACTGTCCTGATTTCACCTGTCCACGACACTTTGCGAGGGAAGCGTTTAATTTTTGCGAAACACCGCTTTGGGAATCGGACTTTGTCATCGAACATAAAACGTTAAAGAATTCATAATAATTATGCTAATGGCTGATCGCGACCTCTTCGAGGTTCTCGACCTCCTTCTTTGATTCTTAACCAGCACAGAAATGCTTATAATATAAAGAAGCATTAGAAAGGCAGCCGAGAGGATCATCCATAGTGCATAAACGTCCGCGGTGTACGTATTGCAAGCAATTAGCTGAACGTTACGCTTTTCCACGACGCAATTACACCGAAGGAAATGGGACTAGGTCAAGAACCCACTTGACCGGAACTACGTAATTCCCGTGCTAACGAATGGTTAATTATTTAGAGGCTCGAGCTGGAAATCCGACCCGTCAACTTTCAATTGTTTCTTCTACTCGTCGGGACGTTTGTTTCACTTGCAATTAGGGAAGGCTAAAATTATAAACACGAAACAAGGAACAATTTAGGTCGACTTTATATCTCGTCTAAGCTCGAATACGATCTCACGATGATTTATATTCGTTCAGCTTGTCGGCGAAAGCATCCGTACTCTCCGGATCGTTCGAATAGCTATCCGTTCTGGAATGTCGATAATGTATTGGCGAATACTGGGACGCAATGTCCACGGATGTCTTTCATGACAGGAAGCAACATCCGGATACGAACGTCCTACGTCCAACATTCTGAACGCTTCCTCGGATAATACATGCAATAATTTCTAGTCGCGACCGATTGGAAATTTTCTGTTTAGAATAAATTGCATTTCTTGCGACTCTTTCAACAGCCAGACTTCACATGTAGATAACAAATTATTGGACATTTCTCACTTGTGCTTTTTTTCCTACTTAGAATCATTTCCTACAGTGGTTGTACTCATTACGCGACACTCGGTGCGTTCGACTCGAAATGACGAGAAGTGGGTAGCCTTCCGTCTGCGTGTCTATTTGCAACGCGCTTCGTTAGGCGTCGCGATGCTGTTGCCTACGAAGCGTCTTCTTGCAAGCGTCTAGTGTGCATTATATGTACACGATCCCGAGTTTATGCACTCTCGCACGTACATAGACCACCTACTACCCCAGGTCTGCGACAAGCAATCAACCGACCGAGGTTGCGACCACGAACGAATGGAAATCATTCTGTAGAAGGAATGGAGGAAGTGGAGCGCGAACATATTTCGAGGGACGGTATGGTGTGGTTTTATCTTCGATATATCGAGCTCAGATAAGCCGACGAGCATTAACCCTGGAAAATGACGACACCTTTTCTCGTGCAACGTAAAAGTAGATACGCGTGGGTCCGAAAGTTTCTGGCTCGACTGACTGCGAATGATCGATGATCAACTTGTTTGGAAAAAAAAATAAAAATTACGAGTTTCGAGGAAGCCTCGGTAGGTATATTTCCTATGGTTTCGTAGTAATTGTCTTTAGTTCGATAACGTACACGGTATTCTTATGGAAACAAAATCTCCGTGATTTATAACATATTAATTTATTAATATCGATCGAGCGGTAAAGCGTGACGGTGATACGGTGCTGAGTACACGGCCGCACGGCCGCAGCAATACCTTCTCGAATTACACAGTCGCAATTGCATTAACACGAACTGAAAGGGAACCTTCGTCGGTCTAGACGCTGAAACAAGACAGTGTTACGAGCTTCGTGAACGTGACTGCACATACCTATCCGCGCTAGCGTCCGTACAAGCACGAAACGCTCGGAAGCCGGTACGTGCGATCATCGAGCGAAAATCTAAAATCATCAGCTACTCGAAACGTCAACTAAAATCGTCCACCACCTTCGGAAAACAAAAATAATGTAACCGAAATCCTTTAAGCTTCGAAGTGTTTTTACGTGGTTGTGATAGAAGCTACGATTAAGTACTTATGTGTATACGTGTAAATAAATGTCACGTTATTTTTTACCCTTCTTTGGATACTCCGAATAAGGCTTGAAAAATCACATAGATCGTGGTCAGAATAATTAAAAAAAAAAATTGATGAAGCACACGAACGTAACAGATGTTCCATTAGTCCAACGAAGCCGTTCGTTTTTCGAAACGAGAATTAGACGACTTCCATCGCCATGATTTTTATCCCTTCGAATATTAAATCGAACGGTTAGAACAATGCATCTCTGACCGAAGAATGCGAAAAGGATCTGGCATGGATATAAAAGGCCGGTGGAAAGAATACGGTTGTGATTGAACGCGAAGGGGAGAGGAAAATTCGTGGAGAGGACACGGATGAGGCGAGGGTGAGTCGAGAGGGTGAGGTACAGAGAGAAAGACCAGTGGCTGAAAGTAGGTGGAAAATATCGACCGAGCCACAGCCCGGCTCCGCTCGGAGACTGATATCCAGCCTGTTTCCACTTCTCGCCGCTTTTCTCCTTCACAAGTGGAAAAAAGGTCGCCAAACTCTTTTACCATTTTTTTTTTTTTTTTCGCCCATATTGCTACGAAAACTTGGAAAAACTTTCTTGCCAGAGGTCAGCTTCCCCTGGTCTCGTTTGCCATCTTGCTCCAGGCTACCGAAAGATAGGGGTTTCGTGCAGAAAGTTTACGAAATTTTCGCGCTAGCTCCAGTGGACGTTCAAAATTATATTTCATTGTCTTTTTCTTTCACTAGAAATTTGAAACAGAATAAAAATTTAATTTGTATTACAGTTTGTCGAGCTATATACGGGTACTTCTACTTGATTAATCATCGTGTTGACACTCTGATGATCTCAAGCTTCGTGACGTTACGAATACGTAACACTGATCATCAAAGTGTTAATTTATCAAGTATCTACTTTTAAAAAGCTATCTATGATAGCGATGCAATTTGCTCGCCTCCTCAGAAATTTAAAAAAACATGTTGCCCAAGAAAATATCAAAGGGATAGAGCGAAAGAAACAGAGCGAGATGAAAATTGAACTTCCCGGTTAAATATCACGATCCTTTATCCGTCGTGATAATCATCGAAGAGAAGCAAAAAGAAAAAGGAAAAAAAAACTGCCTGACACGAGTGTACAGGCTCGTGCGGAACACAATAAAGTCTGCGCCCCAACCCCTGAAATGGCAGCGCGACAAAGGGTGGTTAAGCCCTTCTTCACGAAGATGCACCGTACGTAACCGAGGTCCCTGATACCCCGTTGCAGACGTCGCGACGCCGTGTGCAATCACGACAGCGACACACGCCTGCATTTCGAAATACACTTTTTCCTCTTTTCTCGCTTTTCCACCATAACTTCACGCGCCTGCGTCGTATTCCTTTCCGCCAGCAGCCGAGCCGTGCGTCCGGTTTCGCGCGCGATTAATTCTCGACGAGATCGGGCCAGAAACACGCTCTCCCCTTCGCGTACACGCAAATTATCGATTCCACGACCTAACCTTTAACGAGAGGGAAAAAAAAAGAAGGAACGCAACGACGGTGGACGAGGGAAGAGTTGACTCGAAACCTGAAAGCGTCGCTTCGAAGCTCGACAAGTTTCAGAAACTTGGACGCGCTCTGTCGCGAGAGAATCAGTTTTTCATATCCGAAGTGAACCGGATGTTGCAAGGATGAAATATTTATAATCGTGATATTTTGTGAACAGTTCAGTGATCGGTGAAATATATTTCTCTCACTTTTGTGTGTTTCAATCCACTTCGACTTAGAACATCGAGTCTGAAACACGCACGATACGAGTGCGTAATCGAAATTAACTGGTAAACGAAGAGAAGCAAAGAGAAGAGTGAAAAATCAACGAGTTCGTGGTCGAAAGACGGTTCGACATCGAAAATAGCATGCCAGCGAATCGGCCACGATGTCCAGCACACCAGTCGACGTTCGCAAATAATCCGGGCTCAACGTGCTTTCAAACTCGTGCACATAAACAGGGTTTAAGTTATCGAAGATTGTAGAATTCACGTGAAACGTAGAAACATTACGATGGAGGTGGAGATAGTGCCGTTTGTGGAGAATAATGTAAACGGAGTCAGAGGGGATGTACCACGACATGGTAGTAGGGTACAATTAACAAGAAAAACACGGTGAGACGACGGAAGTAGCGGGTTTCTATTATTTATGCGATAACGAGACTGGGGATTGATGCTTTGAAATTTATTAATTAAAAAACGCGACGATCATGCATGTTCCACCTCACTTCTCTCCTCATCATCATTTAAACAACAATTTCGACGTCATTACATGCTTATTTTACAAGTTTTAATAAATTTTCTTCTTCTATTTTCTATCAAACGGTAAAATGAATTTGAAATTCATCTACATATATGTTTATGTACCCCTTCGCCAGGTATGAACAATAAACAACGGAATCAATAAAATAATGACCAAAGTGGTTCCATAACTGCACATCGCGCATTGCTCGAATCCCAACTCTTACCGACTTCATTTATTTTTCGTTTCAGGACGTCGCTGTTCATTATCATGAGCTTCATTTACGCGAAGCTATTGGTGGTGGTGTGCATCGCTTACGTGATTAGCGAAGTGGTCACGCACAAACTGCCGCTATACTATTACGAGGGTTTCTTCACCTATTTGTACGGGGTTAGCATCTTGTTCCTGTTGTACGTGTTCTGCTTCCTGTTGCAAGAGAGCGCGTGCTGCGCGAGGGGCAGCGACTCGCCGCCACCACCACCGAGACCTCCTAAGCCACCCAAAGAGCCCAAGGATAAGAACAAGAAGAAAGATAAGAAGGATAAAGAGCAGAAGGCGGCGAAGAGCAAGAAAGAGTACCAGGTTATTAGCTCTTCTATTTTTTTTTCTTTTCAATTTTCTCAAACTAACAAGGAAATAAGATTTTGATAGATCAAACAACCATTAGACCGCGTGAAGCTTTGTAACAAGTAGGACTGATTCATCCAACGTTAGAAATATCGTTGACGCGAACAAGTTTCGGGTTTACGATAAAAGTAGATTGTCCATGAGGCGTATTTCGGTTCAGTGGAACGAATATCGAGTCGATGGAGCGATTTAAAGAGGCACTCTAGGTGCTGACGTAAGTGGGTTATCCATCTAGCAGGAGGCACGTGCTACGGGTTCGTCCATTCATTATCACGTGGAATCCACTTCGAAAAACTGAAACTCGGCAGTTTTCGTCCTCATTAAAGCTCGCTCGCCTTTTCGGTGCAATTATGAAATTAGTTCGAATCTAACAGCTTGACAAAATTAACGACTACGACGTATATTTGAGAGAGAAAAAATGATTTAGGACGCGGCTGATGTCGAGGCTGGCGTGGCCACCCGGGCTTTGCGAAAACGAAAGACGTCGCAGAACGATCAGAGCCATGGAAGCTTCTTCCTTAGAATCGGAGCAATAGGTGAGCGATATAATTCGATGATATTTCAGAAGAAAATATCTCTGGATTTCTAATTAACTTCGTAGCATTCGGTTTGGGAACAATGGTGTACAATGGTTTGGAATTTGGTACGTTCTTCGAGGTACCACCTTCGTCACCGTGCTACCAGATCCTCCAGGGCGTCAATCCAGTTCTTCAAATGATCTTTACCTTCATGCAGATGTACTTTATCTTCATGAACTCGAGGGTAGGTACTGTACCCATCGAAATCTTTGAATTGGAAGGACTGATCGTGATTCGTTTCTCTCTAGTTGAATATTCATCGATTCAAAGTGATCGCGCGTTTCGGATTGATGCACGTGGTCGCGACCAATCTCTGCGTTTGGATTCGCACCCTCGTGTTGGAGAGCATCAAAGAAATCACCAAGCATCACCAAAAGATGGGTCAGTTGGAAGCTGGCATTCTTGGTAAGTTCGTTTTATGACAGAAGCAAAGGGTGAATTATGAAGTTTGGAATAATTTCAGAGAGCATTAAACAACACTCGATGAGAAACGCTGGTGCCATTTTGGGAACGGCACCTCGCGACGTAGCTCTTTTACGAGAGGCGCCGTTAACTGCCACGAGGACATCGTCGACTGCTACTTCGTCGATCGCCAGCACAACGATCGCCTCGTTTGGTCGCGTAATGAGAACGACGGCAAGGGCAATCGCTAGGGCTGTTACCTTACCCACCACCACCACTACCACCGACTGGAATCCTCTAACCTCGACGACGACCTCCACCTCGGCACCCTTGCCTAATCTAACTACCACCACCGCCAACACGTTGTCCACTTTGTTGACCACGCTGACACCGAAAACCACCACCGAACAGAGCACCACTCCCAGTACCACTACCATTACCACCACCATCACTCCACCTACCACAACTACTACCACCACCACCACGCCTTCGACAACGTTCTCATCTTACTTCATTGAACTGTTCGACGCACCGCAGGCCGACAACAAAGAAGAGGTAATGGTATGTGGAGCTAAATGGATTGCTTTAGCTCTGACAGTAATCCTTACCGCTTCATTTCCATATACTGACATTCGAACCTGAATGGTTCACCATTGGTCCATCATGGTGTTTGATGTTTAATGGAAGACACTTTGATTTCGTCAACAGATACACCAGATATTCGACGTGAACAACCAAACGAACAGCAGCGAATACTGGAGTCCAAACTTCGGTATCTACGCGGAGGCGTTAACGGACGAAGAAATGGCATCCAATTCGTGTGGTCGGGTCAATATCATGGGAACCATTGTGCAGGATGCGGAACCGTATCTGTTCCCCTTCATCATCGAATACAGCCTGATCGGTGCGGCGGTGATTTACGTAATGTGGAAACACATTGGCCGGCATCCACGTTGGCCCCATCAGGTTGAAGCTGATTTGGAACGCCGCCTCGAGGCTATGCTGTCCCGAAGGGCTGTCGCTTTGGCTCACGCAGGTAATTCTTCGCTTATCGCGCGCATGTTCTAGCCCTTTGCATTGATCAATTGATTCTTCAGGCATTTTTAATATCGCAGTTAGTGTAAATGGCTGGAATATATCTGTCAAATCTTTTCGATTGTCTTTCGCTATTCGAGGAGCCAAAATTTCTTCACGCTGAGCTTTCTAAAATATTAAAATCATTGATCGAAAGACGACTAAAAATGCACCGTGTCTCAACGCAAAATTAGGTCACACAAGAGTGGACTGTGTAGGAGCGAGCAAAGGACTCTTCTTCGGCCTGCTGTTACTGGTTGGCTCTCTGATCTGCCTGATCCTCTTCTTCGTGCTGATCCATCATCCGGACTTCGGTTTGATCGCGATTTACCTGGCGGACGTGTCGCATTGCGTGCTGATGGTGCTGTCGATCGTCGCCATAATCGTCGGCTTCATCCGTGTCCAAAGTTTGAAGTTCAAAGCCGAAGAGCAAAGCGACCTGAACGACATACTGCTTCGCGTGTCAGGCTTCGGTTTCTTCGTCTACGCTGTGTTCAGCGTGATCGCCGGCTCGTTGGCCGCGTTTACGCATGAGCCAAACCTTTTGGTGATGCTGACCGGACTGCTGTCGGTCGCACAGGTGATCCTTCAGATGCTGTTCATCGCGGACGTGTCTCGTAGGAGGGTTCATCTTCCGGAACACGATCGCAGCAAGCCCGGACGACAGGTGGTCACATTCCTTTTGATCTGCAACCTGACCATGTGGGTGATCTACACGTTCGAGTCCCAGAAAGTGATGGCTAATCCAGTTCAGCTGGACTTCTACGGTTTCCTCGCTTGGGCCATCGTGCAGAGGGTCACTCTGCCTCTGTGCATCTTCCACAGGTTCCACAGCGCGGTCACGTTCGCGGAGATCTGGAAGACCAGCTACAAGGCGCGCCTCGAGTAGACGGAAGAGACCGTTCGTCGGGATCAATAGCCCGGAGTGATCGTCGTTTACGGGCAAGAAACGAAAGAATTTTTGGCGGGAAGAGAATAAACGAGGCCGAGGTCGCCTCTCGACGACTCGAACATTCCTGTGGCTGCACGGTCGACCTTTGTCACTCGAATCGATCCCGTTGAAGAGAAAAAAAAGGAAGGAGCAGGTGGATAGCAGCAGGTAAGAGGAGCTTTCAAGCTTCGACGAATCGTAGCTCGAAGCTGTTCGGTATTGGACATATCTTGGGACGTTCGTGGATCGCTGAAGGAATCAGAGCAGCCTCTTTGAGAAATCTCTGAACGAAGACGCGCGCTTTACGGATCGAGCGTGTAAAAAGATGCGACAAAATCCTCGTCGAGGAACTCGAACGACGACGAGTCGAGGGATAAGAGTGTGAAGCCGATGCAAGGCGTAGATGCTCTTCGCGTCCTCCCGGGTCGTCGAGACCCGGAGGAGGATCGCTCGAGCATCGTTTTATTTTTTTACGCGCGTTATATTTTTTTTCTCAGTTCTCTTAGCTTGACAGAGCGGCTTGAAACGTTGTTTCCTTGGTCGTAAACACCAGATGAAATAGCACGAATCAGGGGAAAACAAATGGAAATAATATTAATTCGTTCGACAGAACGAAGCAGAAAAATGCAAAAAGAAAAAAAAAAATGGTCAAATCTAGAAGAGAACACGAAACAGGGCCCATTTCCTTTCACCGCGTTTCTCAACCATTCACGATCTCTATATAACTGCCGTCAAATTTTCTACTTTTATAATGTTATACATTGTACCTTCGCCCCATCGTGCATCGAGAACATCGCTGAATATCGATTCGCTCTTCGAGTTTGTCGGGACGATTTCTCGACCGCCTCCCTCCAAAAACGAACACTCGACAAACACGACCATCCTCGATCGTTGGACCAACGCGAGAAATCAATCGGACACATCGAATCGAGCGTTCCGAAACAGAAGAAGAGCGAACCAGCTTCTTCATCTCATTAGCAGACGAGTATCCACTTCGTTAGCGTGATTCGTGATAGCTTTATACATGGAAATAACCGTGATCTCTTTTTCGCGATAAAAGAAAGTAGCAATTTGGAGAGGAAAGGAGGACAAGAGACTCGATGCAAGAACAGGGTGGTAATATTGTTTCGCATTGCACTCAAGCAAAGTCAGGCAAAGTCGGTTTTCTACGGCGAGTACAGTCGCGTGCAACGACGCGTCTCCCTTATTGTTAGAAGGGAAACTGTAGGAGAACGTAAACTCTCATCGCTCATATTCGTAGACTAGCTTATTCTCTATTTAAAAATTTACCCCCTCTGATCTAACTGTGATTATTGCTGCATTTAAGACAAGTATCTACTAAATAGCTTTACCGATAAAGGAAATACATTCTGCAGCCCAACCTGCGACATCGTCTTCTTCTACATTTTCCTATTATTCCAAAAAGAAATCGTTGCACGCGGTTGTACAACGACTCGCCGCCCCCGGAAACGAAAATGTCGAAGGGTCGAAGGGAGAGAAAACGCGCCAAATATGTGTATATTTCGACGTTCATTCTCGTTGCGTGCAAAGTACAAAGATTGTTTCTAACTTTTTAGAATCTTTTATCGATACACAACCTTTCGACGTTCATGATGCGATATTGAGAATATCCGAGTCGCTGACGAGTTGATTCGCGTGTATAAACGAGAACGGATGACGAATAAGAGAAATGCGACGATGATTATCGTGTTGCGATACCGCGACGATAATTGTGTGTATAAAGAGTAGAGAGGTACTTTCTTTTTCTTTCCTTTTTTTTTCCTTCGTTTTTCGTTCGAGGTGATATCGAACATCCGAGATATCCATCGATGGATGTTCGTTCCAACGGCAGAGAGGAGACAATTGACGAACCACGAATGTAGATTTTAATCGCGAGGCTAAGGGATTTAAAAAAGAGTAACGAGATATCGTAGACGACGTTGTTTTAAGATGGATGCATAAAAATGATTATAAAGATGACGAAATTATAGTTGGTATACAAATAGAGATTCTCATACACACACATTAACACTCACGCTCATTCACACGTACCCCCATTCACTCACATGAAAGATTATTATTACCATTGTCGTTTAAAAGAAGAAAAAAAAAAAAGCTATCTCGTACATCGACCGAGAAAGACGCAACAAATTCTTTCGCAATTTAACGCTTTCGTTACTGGTGACGCACCTGGTGTGTCTGTCGACGGGATACACGAGGGACAGTATAGATTTCAACCAGCAGCGAAAGTGTTAATGGATATCGTACATCGTAGATTCGTTGAGCAAACAAGAAACAAGGGAACGTGTTTTATATAGTGATTATACTTTGTGAAATCCCTCCACGGAACCCCGTGGGACCCAAGGAAATAATCCAACCGTCATACACGGAAGTTTACCCCGGTCGAGGTTACGTACCTAGCTATTCGAGTCTAAATATTTTAATTCTTAGACGTAACGTATAATTGAGAGAGAGTGAGAGGCAAGAAACGAGAGAATGGAATTTCTGAACGTGATTATACATAAAGATTAATTATATTAGGTGTACGCAAAAGTATCAGTCCCTTTTTCAGCATTTTGCATTTTTGAGAAATTTTATCATTGATAAAGATCGCAACAATTTTTCTCTTCTATTACCTACTCTTTTAATAAACCAACGATATGGTATAAAAATAAAGCAATTTTGCAAAAGGAATACTGAAACTTTTGCATACTCCTGATACATAATTGTACCCCAAGACGATATTATTAAAAAACAAAAAGTAACACGATATAAATATGACAAAAAAAATTAAGAAGTATATATATATATATTATATATATAGATAGATATATATATAAAAATGCGATTATGGAGATCTTTTATTGACTTCGATGTGCACGACTGCGAGCCAAGTGCTGCGTGCAAACATGTAAATAATGATGCACAGTAAATTATTGTTCAGCAGAGTGTCTGTGAAACAAAAAGCAATTACATTCGTGAATTCTGTTTCGCGAGGGGGTGCGATCGAAAAGGGGTGCGCTTGTGATTCGTCGAACGTTCAACGTACACTTAACGCTTTACCAATTTCATTTAATTATTTAGCGGAATGGTAAAGGAATTTTCGATTTTTTAACCTATTCAATTTCTCAATCTTATCGCACCGCACTTGACGTCGACTCGCGCTCCTTCGCCATGGAACTCCCTCGTTTCGACCGAAATTAAGAAAATCCATAAGCAGAAGAACCGTAATCGTACGCCAACGTCCGCTGATTTCGATGGAAAGAAAATAAGGGCAAAGCAATCGTTCGTTTGGTCGAATATCGAATCTTTTCACGAACGCTCTGCCCGAGAATCAGCGTGTGCCAGATAGAAAAAGATAGGAATTGGATACGGAGCCTAAACAGGGAACAACAAGAGAGAATGGACATTAATCAACAAGGCACTGCCACCATACAGGACCAACAAATGTCGAGCAAAGATAGAACAAAATGAGAAGGAAGCGAGAAGAACGAAGCACGCGCAAATACAAAGAGGGAACCAAATAAACCAGACGATTTCCGAGATAAATGAAAAGAAGATACAAGATGCGGTTGCGATGATGGTACAATTATGCATGGGCTGATTTTCTATCATCGTATGTACAATGATCGCAGCCACGTGCTGTACAAGAAGCCAATACCCTTCCATGTTTAACGAGAACGCGTGTGGATGTGCGTGTGCTTGCGCGAGAGACTGACGAACGATGCGTGTACGACAATGTTTTTATTCGGCAAACAACGTCTTTGTATACTCTAGCCGTGTTCTAGAGAACAGGTGAATCATGGTTCTTGTATATGTACATCAGTATCTCGATAGTAGCCGTAAGCCTAACCAAGTGAGTCGCGGATTTGCTTTGCCGAACCGATTAGAAGCGCCGAGAAATCGACAATTTTTTCCGTGTAACGATTTCACTTTCGGCGATGTTACGTCGTCGAATCGTGGGCAAATTGATTCGCGATTGAATTGATTGAAAAATAATCACGCGAATCGGCAAATACAAGCACGGGAATGATTTTCGGCGACGAACAAGGTGAAAGCAAATCCGCGACCCGTCGTCATTTAACATTACGTAGTGAGTTTTCGATGTCTTCGAGCATAATTACCAGTTTGTACACATTACACAATAACAAAACCGCGCACAACAAACGACATAATCACGACTCTATCAGAGACACAATAAATATACGAAGGATGGCGATCGAATGGATGATGGAACTTTGTTGGTATACAAGAGGTTTGAACAGACGCAGGATTCACAAGAGAGAAATAAAGGGATATTAAAACTTTACAAATTACATGTTGTCGTGTAAGCTGTTCTTTGAAGTCGAGTAGCGACGATTACGACCGTTAACAGTCGTAAGAAGAAGAAAAAAAAAAAAAATGAATTCGCTCATTCATCAATTCCCATTTTTTGATTGTATAACGTTAACACGCCGTTTCATTGTAATCCGTTGGGGCGGCACATCACCCTGTGCCGCCGTCATTTGTAACAATATACGATTATATTGGTTAATAAAAGTTATCTAGATGTAAAGGTCGGCTTCTTATTCTGCACCCATGCCCATTTTCAGAGTACTAATATCTATTAAATTATTCATATTAGCTTCATATTATCAATTCATATTAAAAATGCTGTGCAAGCCTTACTTTTGCAATTTTTTTTTTAAATTTTACATCAATGCATGATTTAAAAATGGTACAACCAGCGTCATCTACTGGTTGGTCTCTTACTGCTAGATGGCTACAGCGTATTCCTGTGCCTACCGAGTGATATTCGTTTCAATTATCGTTTCTAATGCTCTAATCAAACCGTGGTGCCATTTTTCAAATTCCGCGGTGACCGCGATAAAAGATGCTTATTTTACACAAAATTGTAATTTTCTATTTTGTTAATGTTAGAATTGACCATTAGATGGCGCTAACAGTGCTGCACTGTGAGATGCAATGAAATGCACAATACATGCAGACTTTTTATCACAAGATAACATTTCTTCTTATTACCATATAAAATCAAGTAGATAAAGCACTTTAATTAAGAATGAAAGCTATATTATTGATTCCAACAACGGTCCCAATCGATACAACAGAATGTGACACAAAATGATAAGAGTTCATTAGAAACCACCCCCTAATAGACACAAATTAGAAGAACCTATCTAACATCCTTGACAAAGATCCCAAAATACACAAGAAGCTGTTAATTGATGCATGCAAATAGCCCGACCATGAGACCCATAAAAACCAACGAGATTATTCACGGGCAAAGTGAAAAGAAATTTCCAGGAGCTTCGTGTGTCGAAGGAAAACGGTGCGACGCGTTGAGAATCGGATGGCAGGGGGATGAAGGAAAGGAAAAGAAAAGGAGCAGCGAGTAGGAAACCGTGGAACCGAATCGAACAAGAAAATAGCAACGGAACAAAAAGAAAAGAAAAGAGAAAGCCACGTGAGAATACATATGCATGCGTGTATCGACGACAGAAGAAGCGTTCACGGTGGTGTAGGCTGCTTGTGAACGACTGGTAAACAATTAGTCGCGCCGTATGGCGGTGAATCATTATTAAAAGACGATGACGAGCCGTCTGTCCTTTGGCCGATTCGTTGTCCCGCTCATTCGAGCGGTGGATCTGTTAGCATGCGACATTAATTTGCGTAAGGTGTGTTTTGGGGGTGCTACTTGAAAGGCAGCGGATGTGGGTGCGCGACAGAAAGAATACGACGAACTAAAGGCCGAGGAAGAGCAGCTCTGCCTCTCATTTGCCTTTCAATAACCGGCTCCCTTCTTGTCATTGTGACAACAAACGCGACCATTGTTGTGCCACCGTATATCGTCTACTACCTGTACCTGTTCGTTTGCTGTTTCTGCCAGCGTGGGTGGCGACCGTGCACACCACACTCGTTTTCTCCACGAACCGGCTTTTCGGTTGACACGCACAATTTCCATCGATTCCAGAAACGTTGTAACCGTTGTACAACACTTCCGTCGTCTCGCCTCTACGGTGGACACATTCAAGCGGAAGATAGAACCGGAATATTTCAAAGCGAACGACCACGCAATCTCAAAAATGTGCGGTCCCAATCGAAACTTTAATAAAATCAGTATAATCAATTGGCCAGTCTGTAATTATCATCAGAATCCTTAATACAAATAATGGAGGGATATCTCTGTCAGACTTAAGAACAGGATAATGAGACGTCTCCGTTAAGAAAGTATCATCGTATTCGTGCAACCTTCGGACACTTCCTTTTACGGTTCCGTAAGCAAATGAGAAGGCCAGCGAAATTTCAAAAGGCTCACGGGGAATTGTTGAAGGGGACCCGTTCAGAGTAGTCATTTCAGTTTGCACGAAACCGGGCGCATCTTGCATCGGTGGCATTGCCAGACTGATTAAGTCCTCGGTAATATGAGATTGACGAAACAAAGAATCTCGTTGTACGTGCGAGTTGTCTTACCGATTAATTATTATCATTCCAAGCCCGTGCAACTCGCGGTCGTTGTTTGCGTCAGCGGCTTATTATTCGATTCTATATAATCCGCGTATCGAATGCCAGCAGGGATTACAATTCATATGCTCGTGTAACTTGTTCGAGAAGTTGAGTTACGTAACTTGTAACTTGTTTCTACAACCCTGCGAAGGTAGGTATGGAATTTTTATCTTGTTCGAACAAAATTACATAAAAATGAGTGCCTGATAGCGTGATCGCGTCGCTCTTATTGCATTTACTTAACCGACTGACCTTAACTCCAATCTGAAGCGAATATAAGTTAACAATCACTACGTATGCGGAATATCTAATTTTCTCAAAGCTGATTCCCACACTCGAGAGTAAAATTTGACAAAAGACGCCCCTGGTTTCACACTTGTCCGAGGCGTGAAACAACGGAAGTAGCCAACAAGCAACTAAAAGTCGAAACTGCGGGAAAAAAGTTAGTTCCGGGGGGCGAAGACGGGCGTCAGTTGGCGGTTTTCCACTCGAGAAGTAAGGTAATAATCCGTATAATGGCCGTTAAGCGGCCTACTAAGATAGGAAGAGGAACGGAATCGCGCGGACTCGAGAGGGTTCACGAGCGACAAGACGCAGCGAACCGAGGCGAGAGAGCATGCTACTCTGTTTTGTACCGCTTAAGCTAATGAGCCACAGATGGCGATATATCGTATAAGGCGGGCCACGAATGCGAGGGAGAAGATAGATCCTCTGGCGATAGAAGCGAATCGTTGCAAGGTGGTTGAAAAGTCAGCCGAAAGGGGTTGCCTCCTTCGTTCGGCTCGATTCTTATCTCGGCTACAGCCGGTCGTACGCGGCTACCGCGTCCGATCCTATCTCGCGATATGCACCCTCCTTTTAACCCGGTGCACGACCAACCTGCACGCCGCTAAACGCACGCGCGTCCGTCTTTTCGCTGCTCGGCGCAGATGTGCCGCCCTTTGCACTGCTTGCCTCGCATTCCTCTACCTACACGCGAACCCTGCCACGAGGAGATTGCGTCGATCCACTGCAAAAAGATACCAATCCCCGGTTTGATACCGCGTCGTTTACGGCTCGAGGTGCATCAGCTTAATAAATCACCCTTCGTTTGGCCCATCATACGCTACGCGAGTTCAAACGTTTCACGAATTCTAAGACGAGTCTATGGACCTTTCGGAAAATTTCTTATTCAAAAAGTATATCAGAATTCAAGGTGGTGGAAAGAAAAAGAAAGGATGTTCTCACGAGTCGCCTTTTACTCGGAAGAGAAAGAGAGTGTAGACTGTTGAGCATACGTAAAAAAGCAGGCACGTGGATCGCAGATTGAAACGCCGGCTGAAAATCTGTTCGAAACGGGAGCAGCAGCCTGAAGGGGACAGCCGCGATTTCACACCGCGGCCGTGATCCGCGATTTCACGGCAGCTGCTCCTGCAGGAAGCGAGACATGGCACGCGCGCGTGCTACACGCCGGACGAACTTTCTTGCATAACGTGAAATCGGGGACAAGCGGTGTTCGGCGTTTGTCTTCGTGAAAACAACGATCGCCGATACAGCCGCGCCACCGACCCTCCTTTCCTTTCTTTCTGTCTCGAAAGTAACGAAACAATGAAATGGCGGCAACGGCAATCGAATAAAACGATGTGGAGCGTGGAGTGTGCGATCCATTGCGCGATAAACAACTCTTCCTATCCTCGTTTGCACTCCTCCGACAAGTGGGAAGAACTTCCGTCAGCCACGGAATAAGTGCATCCTTAATTATCTTGCGGATAGGATAATTAGCTAGGCCAACCGCGTCTATCCTCTCTATATCCAACGAAATTTCCATAGTTCCAATTAAAAAACTTTACATAATTTAAATTCACAAAAATTCTACGTAACCTTTAATCGCGCGCCATTTTAACGCTAGACGCGGCTACAACACCGCCATTTCTTTAGCTCCCACGGAACGGTAATTACGCTATCGGGATATCTCGAAAATTGCCTTCGGATTGCGCACTTGCCAAGGGAAATGGCGCTCTCAAGTAATAAGGTAGATGGCTCTCGCGAGTCGTACTGACAAGGTTTGCATACGGTGTCACCTGCTACGCTTCGTCGATATTCCGGCGATAGTATGCAGCGGACTCGTTGCTTAAAATTCATCTCTTCACCGACCAGCCATAAATCCGCAGGGTAACGGTGTGCCTCTATTGTCGCGAAAGTTACGTGCAAGGGATTTACGTGAATACGAAAAAGACCGAGAGGCGGAATTTATATTTCGAAGATTTTCCATAATTTCCCAACTTTTTGATAACACAGTTAGCTGTGTGTATATATTATCTAAGTAGATAGAAGTAAATAGCAAGTAAGAATTTCCACGTTGCCAGTAGAAGGTGAGGAAAAGACTCGCGGCAACGCTCCTAAATCCCTTTGGCTTTTTTTCTTTTTACCAGCAACACGAAACGACGTGGGCGGCTGCATAAAGTAAGGTGGCTTGCACTTATCTACACAGCGCGCACAAACGGCGGTACGGTTGCAACGACCCGTGAGCTCGTACTTATGTTAAATTACAGGTGGACACACGCGTCGCGGCCATTAGTTTTCTCTTGGTCTCTGGCTACTTTCACCGGGACGTGGTTTGTCTGGCACGCGGACAAAGCAGATATTTCATAGATTTATGAGTAACCATGCAAGAGGGTAGCAAACAAAGAAAAGGGGGTTCGAAGTTCATTGATTTTTCAAAGAAACGATGCAACTGGTCCCGGTTACCTGATGCGACCACCACGATCACGAATATCCGAGGAATTTATTAAAGACCAGGGAACCGTAAAATCGAACGGTACTTCCGCGATAATCGAGCTTTCTTTTCGACGAACGGTGCCTCACGAAGCGGGCAATTTCAAAAGGAGGGCTGCGTTTACGCAAACTTTCGATGTACCCGTTAAAAGGATCCTTATTCTTCGGTAAAACTCTCTCGTGACTCGATCGTTTTCAAGCGAGTACACGCGTGTACGCGACCCGTGACGGTTCGATTATCCGTCTTGTAACACCTGACCGTCGATTGTCACCCTCCTTTCGGACGCTGAAA